CAGTAACTCAGTTTTTTATGCCATATCAGCATGATGTTGCTTTTGTCTCATCTGCAACCTGCAGAAGAGGCAACTTAAGTTTATCTTTAGCTGCTCCAGTTTTATAGTAGTGTATTCCCTTTTCTCCTGACACAATTCTTGCAATGGAAACCATCTAGCATGCTTCATCAACAGAGCTGATGAAACAGTCAGGGGCTTGGAACTGCCCAGGTCCTCTTGGCTGCTTTAAGGTTGCTGCAGAGCACTGTTCTCCATATCCATCTTTGCTTGGACTGCATCTGCCTCCATAATCCTCGACTGGTGTTTCCAAAGTGCATATCAGGTCTTACTTAGACTCCTTAGGTGCATGCGTTAGTGCTCTTTTGAAACAGCGATAGATGTTTTTAAAACATGGATTTAACACATGAACAATAGACGCTTGTTTTAAAAACAGGGCTACTGTTCTCGTGAGGAGGAGTTTCCCACAGCTATGCGATCATTTGGTGAGAGATGATGCAAAGCCAGGGAAATCCACCAATTGTTTTCCTTAACTTGCTCTGTGGCAAAACACCAATCTTCAGCTTTGTGGCTATGGTAAACTAGGCACTAGCTGTTAGGACAGCACAATTTATGCTAGCATAGTTTTCTGCTAGCTATAGTAGTTTAATATGGTCATCTGACTATGGCTCTAGTTATTAGAGAAGATGCATTTTAGTATTTGCATGGCAAAGCACATAAGTTCATTATTATAAGTTGAGGGGGAGTTACTTGTTAAAAATGTACTCAAACTTTCATCCCACAGTGTCTGCTGTTAGGGACCATAAGCTACAGCAGCAGATTTGATGAGGAAGCACCTCCCCCTCTGATCTGATATCTGGCTTTCTCTGTAGAGAATAAGGCTGATATCCTTGTTAGTTCTTTGGGCCCTTTCTGGCTCAGATAATCTCAGGAAGGTTAATTGTGACAAGTTCACAATTTAGTGAACTGAGCAGAATAAAAGGGGAGCACTCAAGTGGAAACTTAAAACCACCTTTAGCCATCCGAGTAATATGTTGTCTCTTTTGCTGTACTTTGAGTATATTATTAGCCATAGTCAAAAACTATGTGGCCAGATTAATGGCAGTATTTATATCCCACCCACAATCAATAGTCTCTGGGTGGTTCACAATGAATAAAGGGTACACATAAAAGAACCTATAACCTTAAAAAATTCCCAAGGACTCAAATGAAAGAAAAGAATAAAATGCATAAATATATATGGGAATATAGAAATACAGAGATAAGGAAGAAATGGAGTATAGAAATAAAAAAGTCTCCAAGAATCAGGTAGCCCAGACTGCCCAGCAAAATAAATCTGTCTTCATTGCCTTCCTTAAAATAGATATGATGGGATCCAGCTGGGTCTCTGGGGGCAAATTATTTCCTAATGGCGGGGTACCACTGAGAGAAGCTGTCTCTAGGTTCCCACCAATCTCACCTCTCAACACAGTAAAATTATACTCAGAAACCTCTTAGCAATTAATGCAGCACCTGCAAATTAGAAGTCACACTGCTGAAGCCAGATAACATCCAGGACTAGCCCATGGTCACTATGGAGTCTATGAATTCCTGAGCCTATCCAGATCCCAACTACAGGGCATGGAGTTTGAAATTCCCCAGTACTAACAACTAGGTAGTGTCCAGTACCAGCTCTGCAATGAGATCTAGTTGCTCAGGAAGGGACAGTGCTAGGTAGCAGGGTGGATAGTACACCAGCAGTTTCCTTAACTTGTTTGTACAGTCTGAGTTCAAATAGAGGCCACTCATATCCAATCTCCAATGAAGCAAGACACCTAACACTACCAAAGCCTCACACAGAATCATTGTTATTCCTCCTCCCCAGCCTTGGTGTGATGGAATTCTCTGATCCTGGGAATGAAAATTGGGCGTTTCCAAAAAATATCAATCTATTCTTGTTCTACAATATTTCATCCCCAGGGTCAGAGAATTCCGTCATGCTTGGAGTTGTGGTTGTTGAAGCACCTCAAACCAGGAGGACAAGTTTAGGATAGGGCCACCTATTCAAGTTTGACAGGTCCACATGCTCATCCACAACAAAGTCATGAATGAAAATGGCTTTATTACATATGGATCTAGCATTTATCAACACAGCCGGAAGCCAAGGCACTCAGTAATCTGATCTTATGGATCCAGGGAGAAGGTGGGCTAGGAAAGTGCTGATTCCTTCTCTTTATTTATTTGTTCATCTATATTTCAAATTTGTCACCCCCCATCTCACTGTGGAGTGACTCTGGGCGGTTTACAGTAAAAAT